TGGTGTGTGTGTGTGTGTGTGTGTGCGTGCGTGCGTTCGTGCGTGTGTGTGGTGTGTGTGTGTGTGCGTGCGTGCGTGCGTGTGATGTGTGTGTGCGTGTGTGTGTGTGTGTGTGTGTGTGTGAGCAGACAGCGATCGGGTCATTTCAGGGTCCGGCTGACTCAGGAAAAGCCACCTTACACACTTCCACAATCTCCACAACTCAGCAGAACAAACACAAACACAGACAGCAGAGAGAGGGAGAGCAGAGGCCTCATGGGAAATTGAGTTCATGTCTCTAATGAAGTCGTTTCAGAGCTGCTACAGCAATGAAATGAGCTGGAAATGAGTTGAGAGTGAAAAACTCCCTAAAGACCCTCCTGTGTCAAAGAGACAGAATGTAGTTCAAACTGTGACCAGAGGGGGGCAGTACAGCATCTGTCTGTCTATCTGTCTATTTATAGTTTTATCTATTGTTCTGTCTATCGCTCTAAACGTCTATCTATCTATCTATCTATCTATCTATCTATCTGTCTGTCTGTCTGTCTGTCTTAATTGTACAGCACTGTGTTATTCTCTGTAGGTTTTTAAAGAACTTTTGTAAGTCTGTCATATATCTCTTCTCTCGTTCAGATATCGACGACTCGAAATTCATCGGTTCCTCTGTGATCAACTCCACGTTTGCACACAACAAGACCGGCTGTCAGATGACGTTTGATGACGACTACAGCGCATACTGGGTGTATTTCATCAACTTCCTCGGCACGCTAGCCGTGTTGCCAGGCAACATAGTCTCCGCCCTCCTTATGGATAAAGTGGGCCGTCTGAGCATGTTAGGTCAGTCACTTCACCAGATTCACCAAAAACTTCACCAGATTCACCACATACTTAAACTCGTCGGATGTCATGTTGCTGTGTGTTGTTGTGTTCAGGCGGCTCGATGGTGTTGTCTGGCATCAGTTGTTTCTTTCTGTGGTTTGGCACCAGTGAGTCCATGATGATAGCGATGCTCTGCCTTTATAACGGACTCAGTATATCGGCCTGGAACTCACTGGACGTGGTGACGGCCGAACTGTATCCCACCAACAGGAGGTACATGGACACACAAATACACACAATCACTACTAAACACGGATCACAAGATGCTTTCACTTGACTCAAATCAACTTTACTCAATGCATTGACATGTGGTGCATCAAGCTACAGTGCTGTTATCATTAACTAAAACTAAAACCTTTAAAAACGTTTTTGATGATTGAAATGAAGTAGAAAAAAATTAAAATATTAAAGGAAGAACTTAAAGATGTTTTGGCAGCTAACTGAAATATGTTAAACTAAAGCACTAAGATTGCCGGAAAATAAACTTTGAAAAAAAGTAAACTACAACTGAAATAAATAATTGGGAAAAAAAACATAATAATATTTTTTTTTTTAAATGAAAAAAGTGCATAACAAAATATGCTAAAATTAAATTAAAACAGAAATGAAAACTAATGAAAGTTGTTATTAGCATTTTAAAAAATAACTTTTAAAAAATGGTTAAAAATTTGTTTTTTCACCTTTTTATTTAAATAATTATTCTGTTGTTCCTAGATCTCCCTATGCTGCATTTAATATCATTTTTTATAGCTAGTATAGATAAATACTGCTGTTTTTGATGTAATTACATATATTATAATCATATAAAAATATAATTGATATAAAAATATAAATATATATTTAATTTAATAATTTCTATGATTTATTATTTATATTGTTTATTTGTATTGTTTATTTTTTTACAGTTTTATCAGTTGTGTTAAATATATAATTTCTATATTTATTTAATGTAATAATTTCCATGATTTATACTTTATTATTTATTTGTATTGTTCAATTTTTAGTTTTATCAGTTGTGTTAAATATATCATTTTTTATATTTATTTACTTTAATAATTTCTATGAATTATAATTATTTATTATTTATATTGTTTATTTGTATTGTTGTTGTTTTTTTACAGTTTTATCAGTTGTGTTAAATATAAATGTTTATTACTATTTGATGCTGTCATCCTAATAACATAAAATCATACAAAACATAATATAATGTAATAATATCCTAATTAAAAATATTGTGCCCCAAAAAATGGCTTCAGTGTAGTTCGCTTAGCTAACAACTTTATCAAAAGTGTAGTTTGGCTATAGTTGAAATGATCAGTGGCAGTGTCATGCATAAAGACCTTTAGATGTCAAAGCTTTCTACAGCTTTACTAGAAAACTGCTAGCACTGCTAATACTGCTGATATTGCTAACACTGGTTGTGTGTGTCTCCTGCAGAGGAACTGGCTTTGGCTTTTGTAACTCCATGTGTAAGCTGGCCGCAGTCTTGGGGAATCTAATATTTGGGTCGTTGGTGGGAATCACAAAATCCATCCCGATCCTGCTGGCCTCGTCTGTGCTGGTCGCCGGAGGCCTGGTGGGTCTGCGGCTCCCCGACACCCGCAACAACGTCCTCATGTGACCCCACCACACCTGTGACCTCTGACCCTGAGTCGTCACGGAAACACGCAGGACACGCTCAGGGTGCAGGTGGAAGCGACTATGACGTGTTTGCTTCATTTATTCATTTAAAGTGTGTTATTTATTCAGTTAGAGATGTTTATTCTCTGTTGAATTTGCCCAGTTCAGATCAAAAGATTAGATGTTGATGCCTTTGTTACAGTAAATCAAATGTTATTATGTTATGAAATGTAAAAATGAAAAAAGTGTCGAAATCTGTTTTTAGACTGTGAGTTTTCGACCTAATCTGGGTGGGCAGAATTATTTTTGAAAATTATTTATTTAATTAGAAAATGTAGTTATTTTTTATTTTTAGTATTTTATCTGTATTATTTTAAGCTGACCACAAAAAAAATTCAGGTGATTTTAATGTTTTTTTTTTTATTATTATTAAAATGTTACTTTTCTTGAAATTATGCGAGAGTAAAAAAGGCCATTTAGAGACGTAGACATAAGCGATAACAGCTTTTTTTGTTAGCATAGGTCCGATTCTCCGGTGACGTCCGCCGAAACAATACTTAAACAAGACAATAACGATTATGCAGTTTACATTTTCTGCTTTTTATAATGATTTAGTTAGCAGAAGAACACCGACACGCTTCGACGGACTTCATTTGGTGTTTGTCTCTCTCGGTTTAAGGGTTGAAGACGTCTTGATAACCCTAGTTCTAGCTGCTACGCGTCCATGTGCAAACTCTTCCTCAGAAAACTGAATGGCCTTTGCTTCCTCTCCGTGCCTCCTTCCTCTAAAACCCTCCCGTCGGCTTCTCGTAGGTTGTAGCGATCCATCGTACAGCAGAACTGAGCGCGTGTCCGATTTCTTTTGGAAAGCTCTACTGCTCCATTAGGTGGAAATATGTCGTGTTTCATCACATTCCACTGGAAGTTCGTACATGCAATTGTGTAATATGACAGGACGTGATACTGTGGAAGCCCGTTTCCGCCACTGAATAAAAAATAAAAAAGTTAATGGCGGCTTTTTATCTCACAATTCTAAAAAAAAATTCTCAAAATTGTGGGATACAAACTCGCAATTACGAGTTATAAAGTCAGAATTGCGTGATTTGAACTGTGTGTTAAATTGTGTTACAAAGTCAGAATTGTGAGACATGAAAATTGCGAGAAAAATATCTAAATTGCTAGCTTATATCTGGCAATTCTGATTTTATTTCTTGCAATTAAGAGTTTATATCCCGCAATTCTGACTTTATAACTCGCAGTTGCAAAAAATAAAATCAGAATTGCGAGATATAAATTCACAATTTTAACTTTTTTCTCACAATACTGATTTTATATCTCACAATTCAGACTTTGTTACACGCAATTGCGAGTTTTTAAACACGCATTTCTCACATTTTTCTTGCAATTCTGACTTTTTCTCGCAGTTGCGAGTTTGTCTCACAATTTTGACTTTCTCACGATTGCAAGGTTATATCCCACAATTCTGACTTTATAACTCGCAATTGTGAAGTTATATAACAATGATGAGAGAAAAAGTCGGAATTGTGAGTTTATATCCCGCAATTCCGACTATTTCTCACAATTGCACGTTTATCTCGCAATTGTGATTTTTTTCTTGCATTTCTGACTTTGTAACTTGCAATTGAGAGTTTATATCACGCAATTCTGATAAAATAAAAAAAGTCAGAATTGTGAGATAAAAAGTTGCAATTACCTTTTTTTCAGTAGCGGAAACGGGCTTCCATATAATACGGCCGCATCTTAGAAAATAATAAAAGCCATTCAGCCTGGTCTGATCTTGATGGCGTACAGGCCCTGCTGCTGCTGTCTACATGCACTGAAGTACACTAAACACCAGAAACATACTCACACAAGTACACTAGTCCGCTGCGCCAACACTGAGATATTGCAGATGGAGTTTGCATTCACGTACTTGGGTATAAATATGTTTCTGGCCTAATTTAATGATATTTTATTGTGTGTATGTGGGGAAAGTAAAGATAAACTTGTTTTGAACTTATCATGGGTGACAACATTTGCTGTACACGTCTAAATGTTGTAAAGTGTTGCCTGTTGAGTTGAAACATAATTTTTCATTGTCAGATGTGTATGCGAATGTCTCCTCATGTGTATGTGTAGATATCTTAGAGTTTATATCCCGCAATTCTGACTTTATAACTCGCAGTTGCAAAAAATAAAATAAGAATTGCGAGATATAAATTCACAATTTTAACTTTTTTCTCACAATACTGATTTTATATCTCACAATTCAGACTTTGTTACACGCAATTGCGAGTTTTTAAACACGCATTTCTCACATTTTTCTTGCAATTCTGACTTTTTCTCGCAGTTGCGAGTTTGTCTCACAATTTTGACTTTCTCACGATTGCAAGGTTATATCCCACAATTCTGACTTTATAACTCGCAATTGTGAAGTTATATAACAATGATGAGAGAAAAAGTCGGAATTGTGAGTTTATATCCCGCAATTCCGACTATTTCTCACAATTGCACGTTTATCTCGCAATTGTGATTTTTTTCTTGCATTTCTGACTTTGTAACTTGCAATTGAGAGTTTATATCACGCAATTCTGATAAAATAAAAAAAGTCAGAATTGTGAGATAAAAAGTTGCAATTACCTTTTTTTCAGTAGCGGAAACGGGCTTCCATATAATACGGCCGCATCTTAGAAAATAATAAAAGCCATTCAGCCTGGTCTGATCTTGATGGCGTACAGGCCCTGCTGCTGCTGTCTACATGCACTGAAGTACACTAAACACCAGAAACATACTCACACAAGTACACTAGTCCGCTGCGTCAACACCGAGATATTGCAGATGGAGTCTGCATTCACGTACTTGGGTATAAATATGTTTCTGGCCTAATTTAATGATATTTTATTGTGTGTGTATGTGGGGAAAGTAAAGATAAACTTGTTTTGAACTTATCATGGGTGACAACATTTGCTGTACACGTCTAAATGTTGTAAAGTGTTGCCTGTTGAGTTGAAACATAATTTTTCATTGTCAGATGTGTATGCGAATGTCTCCTCATGTGTATGTGTAGATATCTTGTATTTAATGAACATTATTTTCTGTCTATAGATGTTTATTTTGGCTGGTTGTGTGATTTCTGGGTGTTATTTAAGCTAACAAGAGGATTCAGTGTCGTACAGGTATTTTTTGCAGTTTTTTTTACAAGTTTGAACAAATTCAGTTCATGGGAGGAATGAATTTGAAGTTACGAAATGTTTGTTTGGTGCAACTCCTGAACTGTTTATTTCAACTGCATTGTTTTTTTGTATTAATTTCGGAAACAAATTCAAGTGGCCTATCTGAAAAATACAAAAGAAGTGTGATATCTCGTGGTTAAATACACCTGTGCATGTGCATATTGAGACTTTGTGTTGCAGTGATTGGTCTGTTGTGCTTTCGAGTTAATTCCTGATTTGAAAGATGAATGTATCATTATTGTGAGCGTGTGATGTTGTTCTGAAATGGGTTTTGATTGGTTGTGGATCTGGCATGCCAACGACACGTCTGCCGTCAAATTCATTTTGTCAAAGTGTCTGTGACATCACTGGCCAAATATCTCAGATATATCTGATTTTATTTTGAAAAGAAAGTAAAAAGTGCCATGTACAGTGTGAACGGAAACTGAGGTGGATCCGGTCTGGATCCAGATGTACTGCTATTAAAGAGTTTCATTATAAGACTCTAAAGAGCGTCTGCTCTTTTTTTCAGAGACCTCTGGGTATCTAAATATCAATTCACTTTACCTGAATTCATCCTATAAACTGATATTCTGGGCCACATAAAATAATTAATAACTCAGATTAATCACAATACGTAATCTGAATTATATGAATCTAATACAAAACCTGCTTGAATTGATAAAAACCCTTGTGGATGTAAAATGTGTTATATTGTGACCTCTAATGGTGAATGTGAGTACACTAAAATGGTCTAATAGTATATATATATATATATATATATATATATATACAAACTGTATAAATATATGTAATAATGGTAATATATAACACACCTGAAAATAGCTAGAAAAACGTGCTCATAATTTGTGAAAGATGCTTTAGAAAAATTTAATATTTTCTATTGTACACTAAAATTATCTCATTGTAATATTAATATATAGTGTAAATATATTATATATAATAATAGTATTATATAACACCTAAAAAACTTGCTCATAATTTGTGAAAGATGTCTAAAGAAAATAAAATATTTTCTAATGAATATGATGAACACAAATAATAGATAACCCTGCTCGATGCTTCGACACTAGATGGAGCACGAGCTCCAAACATCTCCCATTGTGTTAGTGTTGATATGTGAACTAGACTCCTGTACTTTTATTGGACCGGGAGTCCGGGACTGTGGTGAAATGTGCTGTGTACTTCAGTAATGACATGCAGGTTTGAATCTGTTGGTGTCTGACTGACTCAAGGACAGTTTAATCCTGCAGGAATGTTCGACTGAAACTAGATACTCGCCAGCGCCTCTGTCTCTGTCTGTCTCTCTGTCTCTCTGTCCCTCTGTCACTGTCTTTGAATTTGTTCCTGCTGAAAAACAGCTCGCAACATCCTCAATATGCAGCATAAATTATTATTATTATACATTAAACATGAAAAATTTACAGTTTTTTATTACATTAATAATTACATTATTTATTACGCTCACAACATCCTCAAGGTGCATAATAATAATGATAATAAATGTACTATATTATTATTATTAGAAATATTACATTAAACATACAAAATATTTTATGTAATAAAATTAATAATAATATAAAAACAAATTATTCATTATCAGAATTATATCAAATTAGTTTTTATTATTTGCATAATTATTAAAAAATATTATTAAAATTACTGAACCATTCTGTTACTTATAATGGTCACAGGTGTAAAACACGGCTGATCATTTTTGTCCTGGATTTGTGGTTTAAACCAGGATTTAGAATTGTAGAAGTCGGGTTTAGACCAGCAAACTCCTCTCCGGAGGCCTGATTGTTGCTGGAATCTCCATGATCTGGATTCCAGGCGTGTCTGAGGATAATTCTGCGTCCTAGCGGATCCATTCCACCCTAAGTCACTCAGAAGAGCAGCTGAAATGGAAACGGGTGAGAGAATGTTTAATAGTTTGCATACATAGTAGCTGTTATACGTCATATATGAACTAACCAATCAGCAGGACTGCAACTATTTTCTGTATGATGTTTACAAATGTTG